GACCACTCGGCCAACGAGGCAGACAATTACAGTATCTGAACAATTCTGTTTGGTTATGACCGTTTAAGTAAGTCCTGAAGAATAGCCCTAATTTCGCATATAAAATGTTTCTTACAAAAAGGCTTCTAAGGACAGTAAATAATAGCCCAAAATTCCAGACTTGATTAAAACGAAACAGATCCTAATAAAAACCTGTTTTACAACCGAAACGAGTCTTCAAAAGAAAAAGGGTGCAACTACCCTTTTCTTTTTTATTTACGCGCCAACCCTAATTTTGGCGCCCACCGTGGTACTCAAAATTTATCTAACTTATTACAAAATGTACGGTAGCAGTTTTTTTTATTCACGTTCTGTTTATAAATTGTGGTGACGTGCTTCATATATTAAGGGCTTATGTGATATACTCATCATTATAACTTGAGTCTTTAATATAAGGATACCAAGAGGGGTAAGATCACATCTATAGAGGATTAGAGGTATATATAAAAGAAAGTTGTGTTAGTTACACTACTTATAACTCAAGAACGGCTACATCGATTTGGATGACAATTGGTGGGGTGGTAGATTAGAACCAGGAGACGGACATAGGATACTTTATCATCGATTTTTTTTTACTTTTTACCGAAAATCACGAACGGGAACGGGAAAGAACGGGATTGCGCGTACGAAGTCGCGGGCAGAAGCTAGTTAAAAATATACAAACCGCGAAATCACTTGTCAATTGTCTAGTGTTGCGAGTTACTATCGGCGGCACTGATACATAATGTTGTAATTTTTTTTAAAGGGGGGAAAATCATCAAATGATCCCGCCTACGTGAGGCGGGAGGGAGTGCCAGACTCTTACTGACTAAAAACCACCCCGTTCCTTCTCCTGGACGTCGAGCCGGAGCCCCGGTAACCCGTTAGGTTCTCCGCAACTACATAATGGTGTAATAATACAGCATTTTATAACTTTCGTAAGACATTTACCTAATTAATTATTGTTTTTCGTCGTAGCAGCGCGACAGTCGCCGCGTCGCGGTATGCTGCCCATGAATATGCACCTCTAGCATATCTTGAAACTAATCGAGGTTTCGTCAAATAATTACGTGAGTAAGCCGAAAATCATAATAATTTATTTAATATAGCATTGTACCACATTACGCATTACTCAAAGTGCCGTAATGTGCACCTCTGCCTACCCCTTCGGGGATAAAAGGCGTGATGTTTGGGTATGTTATGTTATTACACAAAAATGAAAAAATCTACAATACATAGGTGTGTCAACCTCTGCATATTTCCTCATGATATACTTCTAGTAGACATGACTGTCCCATAATTGTATTACTACATTCATTTTAGAAAATGCTAAATCTCTTCTCCATAATATCTCTAGAATATTCGACGATGTGACTGTATAGAAAAGGCACCCGTTCTAGGGTCTCGCGTGTTCTCGTTTGATCGATACTCATATTTTGAGTGTTCCGACCTCCTTCCGACACTCAATAGAAACGTTTTGTAAGAACTCGGTCAATACTCTGCACTCTGTCCAATTTCTTCAAAGGATTCTCGACTCTATTGCTTTTGAAATAACATTGAAAATTCTTTAAAGAGATTAGACAATTCTGGGTAACTTGATGTGCTTGTATTTCCTTTTAGTTCAGAAAACGCCACTCTTCGGCTACTTATATCGACTTTAGTACAGATGTGCAATAAAATACAGTCGCATTGAGAATTTAAGTGTTGGAGAGCCGTGCTTCGGTACAAATGGGCCGGCTCGACCGGAGTGCTACCACGGCCTCACAGAAAACCGACGTGAAGCAACACTTGCGTTGTGTTTCATCGTGTGAGTGAGGTTACCAGAGGCCCAATTACCCCCCTCCTCTTCCTCAATCTCTCCAATCCCTGAATCCTCAACGATCCTCAAACTACTATTCTCCAAAAGGCCGGTAACGCACTTGTAACGCCTCTAGTATTCCAGGTGTCCATGGGCAACGCCCATTGCTTACCATCAGGTAATCCGTGTGCTTTTTTACCGGCTTAAAAAAAATCAGCAGCTCAGTGGAAAAAACCAGCTAATGTGGAGATCGCAGATTTTAAATTCGTATGCGTAACTTAGTTTTTTTCTTTAATATTAATGAGTATAACTATATCAAAACTTATTCTTAAAAATACACAACAAAATTAAATATTACTAAATAAAATCGATACAAAAATATAAAGGGGTAGAAATTATATTAATACTAGCTGTTGCCCGCGACTTCGTTCGCGTGAAATTATTCATATTTCTTAACAAGAAATACTCATTCAGATTCAATATTCAAGATTCATACTTTTTGACGCGACAACGTGTTGATTGGCGAGGCGTATTTGAGAGCTAGTATGAAACGGAACGTTTATTGTCTACTCAAGATGGCGACTGCGGTTTGTATGTCAGTGTCATTAAAATGAATTAATGAAACGAAATAATCTCCGTAATCCGAATTGTGCGGATATATGTTGTCGACTCGAAATCGATATTTTTTTATTTTTTGTAATGCGAATTTCGATTGAGTGTACCGTACCCCATGACGAAATTATTTATATAGATATTGTTTCGTAAATAAACCGAGTAATGTTTAATATAAGAGTAAACTAAAAATAAACATGACTGCCTCGTTGGCCGCGTGGTCGTAAGTGCGATTGCCGGGCAAGGGGTCTCGGGTTCGATTCCCGGGTCGGGCAAAGTATTACTGGGTTTTTAAATATTCTCAGTAGTAGCACGGAGTCTGGAATTGTGCCCGGTATATGGCAATAGGCTCACCCCTTATTACATGGGACTCATAACATAAATAGTGAAAAGTGGGTGTTACATTGTACAGTGGCATAATGTGCACCTCTGCCTACCCTTTCGGGGATAAAAGGCGTGATGTTATGATGTAAAAATAAACACTGTTATACTAAAGTACTACACAGCACACAGAAGGCGAGCATTCTTCAAAGTAAGTGCAAGCTATTCGTTTTCATAGACAGCTTAGACAGTGGACCATCCCACCTTAGCTCCCCCTCCACTTTTCAAAATGGCGGCACTCCTATTGGCTTTACTGAGTGTTTTATGAAACCGCTGTTTCACAATCCATGTAAGAAGAATCTTTTCGAATATATTTAACGTGAAGTAGTTTTAAAAAAAAAGGGTGCTAATAATAAACTTAAATAACTTGATTATAAATAAATATATACAACCAAAAACACAAATAACTAAAAACTAAGATATTTACAACCTTAAAAAAATTAAAATGTTACCTTAAAAAAAACTTCATCGCTAACGTGAGGTAGGGTGCCCAAAAGACTGGCAGAATTCCCACGTTGAATGGCAATGCTTTGTGTTAAACTAACTATAGTTCAATGTGATAACCGAAATATGAATGAACAAAATTTAAATTGCAAAAATCATACCTACATTAAGTACCACCTTTCAAAGAAAAAGAAAGACGAAATTGGAGGCTGGATGACTGCTAGCTCCCTATACATCGCCAGCCACAAAAATCGTACCGCAAGCAAGGTCGTGATTCGGACCAACATTGCTCTCGACGGCACTCCGAACTCAAGCGAATAGCATTACAAAATCGACTTCGCAATTTTGACCGCGACCAGCAACATCAGGTTTAACAATTTCTGACATGGAGCGCAAAATACTTCAGAATTCTGATGATGCAAGTGTACTCAGATTACAGTAATCGCTAACAGACGACCGACAACTTTGGCAGCTACAATGACTGTTTAACTATGTGTCTGCATGCAAAACACAGAAATCGCGTGAAAACGATTATACTGATAACAGGCGATACACATTAATTGATTTTCCTTTTGTCAATAATTGACTTTAATGCACATCTAATTAAATATTACAATTAGACGGACGGACATACCTTTTACAATGTGGAAAATAATTATTGTTTAATTTGTGTACATAATGTATCATACATTACGTGTGTTTAAGTACATCTACCAATATAAAGTATACTTAAATAATTAATTAATTGAAGATTTATGGGTACTAAATCAACAGGCGGCGTGCTAATTTTTTTAGGTTATAATTTTGTTCCAGTTAGTTACTTGTCAGAAAGCTGTAAGAAGAGACGAGTGGTTGAAAGGTAGGGAGGCCTTTACCATGCAGCGAGACGACCATGGCTGAAAATAATGAAATAAATAGTTACTTCTCATATCTTTCATATTAAACCTTAATCGACTTATTAGTGTCAAATCATGAATTTACTTATGAACTTAATTTTTTTACTTAGATCAACAATTCAACGTAAATTTTTGAGTAAAGTTTTTTTTATTTTTTAGATTGTTACATCTAAACGGACAGAATAAAATAATTTTTTACTGTTTTTGTTGTTGTTTTCTGTAATATAATTGTATAATTTAGAGCTTCCTCGCCGAGTTTTACAGTGCAGTAAAGAGATCAAGAGGTAATGTAACCACATTACCAAAATAATAGAGTTTAAACATCATTGCATACTTAACAAGCACGGCTCCGGCACGACGTTTTTTGCTTCGTAAACAATACAAAAAGGTTTTTAATATTAACATTATGAAATACTAGCTTTTACCCGCAGCTTCGCTCGCGTCACAAAAGGATAAAAAGTAGCCTATGTGACATATACCAATTCTTTTGTTTTCCTTTGGGAATATCAATTTTTCCGGGATAAGTAGTACCCTATTATTTAATCCGGACTTCTAATTTTACGTCTGCAAAAATTTAAAGCAATCAATTTAGTAGTTACGGCGTGAAAGCGGAACAAACAAACAAACTCACTTTCCCATTCATAATAGTATAGTAAGGATATATAGTAAGGATTGTTCATAACTTTATGTTTATTATACTCCATATTTTACAGGAGACGGCAAAAAAGTAATGAGTATCCTGAGTGATTTACCTAAATAAATAATTTTATAATTTGTGTTGCGTTTTCCACGACTGAGTAACGTATATAATGTTGTAAATGTATGATTGTATTATTACTGTGTTTCTAAGAATGAAGCAGCTTGTTGTATCTGTGGTTGTTTGTGCAGTGGTGCAGTATGTAATAGCCATCCGGTACCACAATGAGACGAGACCAAGTCCCGTTAACCGACAATTATCTGAATTTCTTCATGAACATCCAGTAAGTATGACAAATAGCATTTGCCTAATAAAGGCACGCAAATTAGAAGTGTTATCTTTTAAGGAAAAAGGGATACGTTTTAACCAGTTAAAGTTATAATGATGAACTATCGCTTTGCACCAGGTACAATCCTAGTGTTAGTGCTTCATTGGAAATTCTTTCTAAAATCTAGAATTCATTTTTGTTGCCAATAACTGATCTTCGTTAAGGACATAAAATTGTTCTCATTTTCAGAAACCAATTGGAGTGTACACCAGGTTAACAGGAGATCCACTGGACATAAGAGACACAGTCACTCTGAACACAAATATATTTGACAATAAGAACCTTTTTATGGAAACCAGTCACCTGGTCAGAGAGAGAATACCAGAGAGGATTGTACATGCTAAAGGTTATGGAGCTTTTGGATATTTTGAAGTAACACACGATGTTTCTCAATACACTAAAGCTGATGTATTTAATGGTATTGGAAAGAAAACTCCGCTCGTTGGAAGATTCTCCACAGCAATAGAAAATCTCGGTGGAAGTGACTTACTTAGAGAAACAAGGGCTCTTGCTCTTAAAATGTACACTAAAGAAGGAAACTTAGACTTTCTATGTTTACATCTTCCCATATTTTTGTACAATGAACCCTTAGATTTCACCAGATTTTACATACCATGAAAAGAAATCCTCGTACTAATCTTTTTGATTCCACCCAGAGATGGGACTTCTTCGCCCTTAAGCCGCAGTTTTTGCATACCATTCTTTGGCTTCAGTCAGATTTCGGTTTGCCTGCTGGATATCGGAAGATGGACATTTTCCCACTACATGTTTATGAGATATACAATAAGCATGGTGATAGATATTTGTAAAATTCAATTTCCGGACCACTATCGGCTTGGCTAACCTGACAGATGCACAGGCAGCCGCTTTAAATCTTGAAAGTCCTGACTATTTCAACATAGACTTGTATAATGCAATTGCTGAAAAGAATTATCCGTCTTGGAGATTAGAAATGGATATATTAACAAAAGAAGACCTAGAGAAGGTTGATTACGATCCTTTTGATTTGACGAGATTGTGGAAGAGGGGTACTTACCGCACTGTGACGATTGGTCGAATTGTGTTTAACGATAATGTTGATAATACTTTTAAGGACATTGAACAACTTGCTTAATCCTGATAACTTAGTACCTGGTATTCTGGGACCACACGATGAAGTTTTCAAATCAAGAAGAATTTTCTATCCAGATGCACAAAATTATAGGCTGGGTGGTAATCACCATAATATACAAGTGAATGCTCCTTTGTACGATAAAACATATAATAGAGACGGAGTGCCACCAGTAAGAGATAACATGAAATATACTCCTAACTATTACCCGAATTCGTTCCATGGACCAATGCCTTATGTGGATGAAGCTCGTCCAACAGAGATGTTAAAAATTTTACATAGTAACGCTATTGATTTGCAGCCTCTAAACGAATTTTACAATGAAATCGTTGATACTGATGCACACAGACAGAGAATAGCAGACTATCTAGCTGAATCATTAGTCAATGTGCCCACAGGTTTACAAAAAAGAGCTATTTACATTCTGACACTTATCGATATAGGTTTAGGAAGACGCGTCAAAAATGCATTACAAATATCTAAAAATATAGATCGAGTAGCAAGACGAAACCAAATAGCAGAATGCATAGCTAATGTGGATGAAGCAAGTAAGAGACCAAGACATAAAATACAAAAGACACAGTCTTACTATTATGGCCGCAACTAAATAAATACTTATAAAATGGTAACAAAACAAAATTGGTACATTTGATAATTTTTTATAGGTTTAGTTAAGAATTTAAATCTGAGAGCCATGCTTCTTGACCGGAGTGATACCACGGCCTCACAGAAAACCGACGTGAAACGCTTGCGTTGTGTTTCGTCGTGTGAGTGCGGTTACCGAAGGCCCAGCTAACTCCCGTCCGTTTCCCATCTCCCCTATCTCAACATTCCTCAAATTCCTACTCCCCAAAAGACCGGTAACACCCTTGTCACGCTTCCGGGTATCCATGGACGGCGCCCATTGCTTACTATCAGGTGATCCGTTTGCTCGTTTACCACCTTATTATCCCAGAAAAAAATTGAATTATTTATACAAAAATAAACAATATATTGATTAAATGCGCATAAATTTGCTTCAAACCTTCCACACTTAGCCCTTTGAGTACCGTCATTATAGACACAATTAAAGAACAATAGGTATGCGGACACCGGTGTACTCGCGGTGTTTGACAGTTTAATTTGATGTTGAATGATTTTATTCATGACATGAAGATCGTGCACCTCTCCTAATATAAAATTTCATTTCCCTTATGCACAAAAATACATGTGAATGCGAAACAAACTCTATCTCTAAGTTTCTTTGGGATCAAAATAAATTGGTACGAGCCAACAAACGCGAAATATAAATTGAATTCTCAGTTCGAAGTTAGATTACTCTCAACACTGCAGTCGCATCTCACTGTAAGCTATAGCGATTGCAACCGATCTACTTTTCTAAGTTTTCTTTGATATAAAGTGATCTCAGTAATGAATTTCCCAGTATATGTAGTTGAGAACACCTCAATGTGTTCTACTAGTGTCAGATATTATGCCAAGCCCTTTAAATTGTCAAACACCGCGAGGACACCGGTGACCTCAACCTATTGCTTTTTAATTGTGTCTATAATGACGGTACTCAAAGGGTTAATTCTCGAAGAGATAGGTAGCGCATATTATTATGTACCACCAACCTTTGAATATTTCTTGGTCTCATGGAAAAAGAGGTGAGCCTATTGCCGTATACCAGTAACGGGTCACCGGGACTCTGACCAGAAGCAGTACAGCAGTGGTTTTTAGTTACTAAGAGTCTGACAATTCCTCTCGCCTCACCCCAGCTAGGAAAGACGATTGGATGGTTTCTTCCCTGAAAAAAAAACTCCGTACGCTTTAGGAATTACATTTGAAACTCCATTATCAGTAGTCGCACTTGGGAACACTCCGCCAATGAGATAGTCAAATAAAAGAAAACGATTGCAAAGATCAAATCAAAAATGTCATAATCGGCAATGGCAACTCATAACCATTCGAATGGCGAAACACAAAATCAAACACACAGTCACACAGCTATTTCAAGAAACATTTACTATTCAAGCACAAATTGTTTGCCAAAATCAACTCGGTACCGAACAGAGCATAAAACTAACTTATTATAATTCGAAATTCAAATATTTACCCTTCTCGGAGAATTCCTGTAGGCACGCCAACAAAGGCACAATATATGAATGTCAGTGCCACCGCTGGCGTTTAAACGAAATAAAATTTCCCCTGAGACGCTTTTCCCGGGTTTTTCTTACTGCAGAGCATGGAGTATGGAGATATGGAGTACCTACTTTTTAAAATACAGCCTTAAAATATACCTATCCAAAAGAAGACTGTAGTATTATTAAATCCAATTTCGATGTTATTTAATTTAATAGGTACTTTAGTGTTCAAAGTTACCATTCAACTCACAATTACTTACTCTTAAAAACATACTTACCACAAACATTGCCAAATTATTCAAAGGAAAAAGTAAACGGATAAGGCGTAAATTAAAAAAATCTATCGTTTTACCTTTTTCTACTGCAGTGCCTTCTGTGACAATTTCCTACACAGAGATCACTCCATTTCTTTATACTCCATGCCATTTACGTGGGATGGCTATGTGTTCGTGTGTGTGAAAGAGCGAGTGAAAGAAAGATCCCTTTCACACGTGACTCTTTCAACGTCTTAGCAATTTGGAGCGGATCACCTGTTTCCTAGCTATGTGTGTACTGCATTGCCACTAAACGTGAATGGACGCCATCTTTTCTTACAGAATAAAAAGATAATTATCGTTGCTAAGAGAACTACTTTGACTGAATATGTTTTTCATTTGAACATGATTTTCGCTGTTATTATTAGGAGCCATGAAGAATTAATGTCTTGGTTCAAAATATTCAAACTGTTCAAAATATTTTTTTTTATCTAAGGGCAATCCTCTTTTTTAAATCCTTTAGTATCTTTAGTATAACGAAAACTCCTTACACATTGGTCTAAATAATGTTCCTTCGTATTACTACTCAGCGTTTCATTAGCATCAGCCTAGTAATTAAAAGCATATCCTTAAATAAATAACTAACTTAGTAAGTACTTTATATACAAATACTTGAACAACAAACCTTTTAACTTAAAACCTTATTCAAAAAAAAAAAAGAAACAAGCGCCCCAATTTCTCTATTCCATTTTCAAGTTTGAACGCAAAGACAAAAGAAAGTCGGAACAACGAAGCCCGCGTTTTTTAATTAGTCCCAACCCTACATATTCCTTTTGTTACAAGAAATGTTAGTGAATACTTTTATTATAACCTTCCTCTCGCCCGCGGCTGAACATGGCGTCTGAATGTTAAGGTACATTTACTTTCAAAGATCATAATCATAAGACAACTCCGAGAATCTCCGAGTTTATGTTGAAATCTGTTTTGAATGTATCTATTTATATGTATGTTTCACCTAAATACCTGCATTACGTTTTGACTGACAGGCTTGTTACTATGGTAAACGTGTTGCTGTGGGGCATGTCAAATTGGGGCTCAAGAACTATCTCATGAAAAGTAAGGGATGTTCCTGTTGTTGTTGAAATTATATTTAATCTTAGGACCGATTTTCCAACTCCATATGACTTTGCCAATTGGGATGATGACAGGGTATGAAAATTAAAAATCTAATTAGTCCATAAGTTAGGTAATTAAAAAATATTATACACGTATTTATTATTTTGTCGTACAATAAACCAATACTTACTTAGATAAAACGAATCAAAGTTTAGAAGAGGAGGCTAAAATGTCATTTCTACGTATAAAATGTACACAGAAGTGACGTTAAGCGACATTTCAAGTCGCGGAGAACCTAACGGGTTACCGGGGCTCCAGCTCAACATGTAGGAGAAGGAACGGGGTGGTTTTTAGTCAGTAAGAGACTAACACTCCCTCCCGCCTCACCCAGGCGGGAGCAGTCATTCGATGATTGTACGCCCTTAAAAAAAAAGCGACATTTCAAATCAATATATCTTCGAAAGTATTCGTTTCTGTAAGAAAATAAAAAATACCTATGTACCTAATGATTTAAAATAATCTACCAGACGGACATTAAAATAAAAATTAGGCATCTACCTAATTCTTCCATACTTACCAAATTATTAATAAAAATAAACGAATTATGACCTATAGTCTGATTTTTAATTCGAGTCAGTAAAATGACATTTCCAGTGTTGCACGGTTTTAAAAAAATAGGGTCTCAAATAAAGAGTGATGTGGAAAATCGAGATTTTTAAATCGAGAATTAAAAGTTAGTCTAGATTACATTCATTTATTTATTTGTACATACATTATAAATATGTAATTTACGGAAATTAAACTGAAGACATGTAATAATATATTACATAAAATACTGTTGTTATATTTTTTTTTTGTTATTGGCAGGACTATCACTTATGACGCCATGGACGCCATTTTGTTTTTCATTCTGCTCCCGAATTCCGACGGTGTCAGAAGTGTTTAGTGTCCTCTGCAGTTTCTTGTTTATTTCTTACTTGTTATTTGTTTGTTGAGTTTTTTGTTACGTTTTTTTGTTACGTTGGTGATTGAGATGGATGCCCAACCGTCCACCTCTAAAGATGGATGTCTCCCTCCAAAAAGAAAGCGTCGATCATTTGTTGTAGTGAGAAACAAATGATTCTCAATGCATATAATTATGTATGGAATCAAAATACAGCAAAATCTTTCGAAGTTCCAAAGAAAGATGAGTGTGTGAAGACAGTATCTGAAATATTGGGAATTTCGACTAGATCTGTATATCGGATACTGAAAGAACAAAAGGAGAACGTTCAGTTAACAAATCAGAAAAAACCCGGACCCAAACTGACATTCAAAGATAAAATTGATGATTTTGACTTTTCGGCGATACGACGTAAAGTTCACCAATTCTTTTATGAGAAGGACCCACCAACTATTGCCAAGGTATGTAAAATTATAATACAATACAAAATACATAATTGCACATCATACATAATATATGATAGTGAAATTTAATATTTATTAGTTATACAGAATATTTTTTAACTTGATTGTGTTCTTTTCTTGCATAAATTGTTTCTAATAATTCTTCAGTTTTTTTCATAAGTTTTTAATTTTTTGTTTTGTAGTATAAGTATCTCTCATTTTAACATGTGTACGCCTTCACGGCAAAACATAGCGCACTGCGTTTATTGATAAGATCCTCATGTAATACCTATGTTTAACAAATAAATATTTCTGATTCTGAATAGGTAGTAATTAACACACATTTTCATTGACTCGCTGAAGTTTACAAAAATTATATACTTGTAATACTTTACAGGTTCATCAGGCTGTAAGTGATGATCCTGACCTACCAAATATGTCAAAGAGTACCATGCGAGCAGTTTTAAAACATTTAAATTTTAAATATGCGAGACGCAACCGACGCAGCTGCTTGATGGATCGTCAAGATTTAATTCTGTGGCGTGCACGGTACTTGAAAACAATCAAAGAATATCGGAGACAAGAAAAAGTAATTTATTATCAAGACGAGACGTGGATTAATGAAGGTAATTGTATATTTTTATTTACAACTATATTAAGTGCATAGTTTTTCAGTTTCAAAATGTATTTGTGTCAGTATTGTATTATTTATATGAATTTTGTATATT